TTTCCTTTATTTAAATTCTGATTCTCTTTTGCCATTATCAGCTGCAATTTTACCTTTTCCCCCATTGCATCCCAGACCACTGGCATTTCCTATTCGGTCCATTCGGGCTCCAAAGCAACTCGAGGCCCGTTTCCTCGTGGTCATCAGAAGGTCCTGCAGATGCCTCCTCTGACTTATGGGCTTGCTGTGGCCCTCTGCTGGTGTTTTTTCTGACAGAGATTGTTGTTCCTCCTCCTGGCTCCATTCTCGACTAACCTGGCTGTGTTCAGACTCTTGGTTTGTCTCTTCAAAATCACCTTCAGAATCCTCCTCCTGGGCTGCTTCAGCCAGTGCCTCCTCAAAGTGCTCCAGTAAAGACTGGTGTGGAGAGATGAAGAGAGGTCTACACTCAAAACCCAAACATTCAACCAATTGGTTGTAGACATAGAAAGCCTTCTTGTGAATCTGGTACTGCAGGGAAAACTGTGGGGAATTGTGTTTGTTGAAGGCTACTCTAGCAATAACAAATTAAACTATGCTAGTAAAGTTGGAAGCAAGCAAGTATAAAAGAGTCAAACTTGGCTGTTACCAAACCAAAAGATGAGTGATGAAGTGTCTGTTATTAAATAGGTAAAAACACAATGAATGTAAAATATATGAATGTGTGCAATGTATAAAATATGTGATGTAACTACACTTAAATCACACATTGTATGCTTTTCGAACCTTCATTTTAAGTAGCTTTTGAATTGCAGTTTAAAGATATGAATGTATTGCCATATACCTGGTTTTGCACAATAGCTAATATTGAGTAAACCACTAAACATGGGGTTTCAGTCGATTGCATTATTACAAATATTAATGGAATCTAAAAAGGGTTCTAGTTTTGGAAAAAATTGTGATATTCCAATTGCATATCGGCTCATTATTATGTTGTAATGAGCTGAGGTGGAAAAGTTTGTGTATTGTGAAAAGCAAAAGGATTTAAAAAAGTGCAAGGGAAAAGGGCTTTGTCGATGAACAAGGATGTGCATGAAGCATGTGACATTATGTGAGTTTATTTCTTTATTAATTGGCATTAAAAATAGGTTTTTAAGGAATTATTAGGTGCATAAATGAGACTATAACCATTTTCTAAATACATGAAAAAAAAGAAATTCCATATTTGCAGGAGTGAGTGATAAGTTTATGGTTAGAAAATCATTTAATCTCTGCCCATCTATAACAAAAGGACTGGGCTGTCAGATTTCATTAATGCATTTGAGGAGAAACTATTTGAATAACTCATAGTGTTTCACTACAGCAAGCTTTTCCCCCTTTTATTTGTGTGGACATGAACATTGTTTGTGACACAACATATACAACCTGAGCCAACAGCATGTACTTTACTACATTTTACACACTTTTTAAATGACTTTTCTGCTTTATAGTTTCCCAGGAGTGACAATTAAACAGTAAATGTAATGTTCATCTTTATCTGTAATTAGTATTATTATTATAATTAGTAAATTGATGGGCACACTACAACTACTATTAAATGCTACTCATCATTGACAATTGGATACAAAAACTTACTATAACAGAAATCTACCTGATCTTTCCAAGGACAGTGTTCAAACAAACAGAAGTGTTAATGTGATTTCTTACCTTTAGCTGAGCAAGGTCACTGGTTGAAGTCCTTCCCAGTATGTGGCAGCTAACCAATGTGTGCTGACACAGAAGAGCCAGCAGGCCCCATAGGGCAGCAGTCCTCATGTTAGCCTATTGCTACTACTGATACTACAGCCTGTACAGCAAGAATTTATATATGTACATAGAACACACATACACACACATGCACCATGCAACAGACAGCCAGTGTCAGTGTCATCATTTTGTAGACTGCTTCGAGAGCATTCTGACACCTCTACATGATAAGGCAGCGAGTCAGATGTCCCTTAAAGTGGTGCTTGGTGGTAAGTGATGTGTGCTTGTGTGTGTGTGTGTGTTTAAACTCATTTTTGTTACCTCTTTAGGACCTTTTCCAGTATAAACACTTATCTTGTCAGAACCAGTGGACCTTAGGAAGATCAAAGCTTGGTCCTACTGAGGCAAAACCTATTTTTGAAGTGCTGGTAAATGTCAGGGTTATGATGTGAATTGTGGTTAGGTGAAGGTAAGGGTTAGGCATGAATTTGTCATAGCTAAGGTTTTGGTTAGGCTGTCCACAATGGATGAACTCAATGTGAAGTCCTAATAAGGATGGCTGTGCAAACCTCTGTGTGTGTGTGTGTGTGTGTGTGTGTGTGTGTGTGAGATCGGCAAGTGATGGCATGACTTGAAGCTGTGAATGCAGACATGGCAGGAATGCATTATTCATCATGCAAATACTTGACACTGTCTACACTCCTGAGCCTGAAAAACACCATAGTAGGTTGAAACTGCTGGGGGACAGGAGTGTTTTATGGAAGCCTGGAGTGATCATAGACTCATAACAGTAAAAATATATCTTAAGGCCTTGGAAATCTTTATTATATAGATATATATATAAATATAGAGATACATACGCACACACACAATGGCCCTCATACAAGAATCATTCATAAAAACTACCCAAAAAAATCATTTTAACAGTGGAAGAAAACAGAATCCTCAGAGAGAGCCACATGATCCCTCTCCCAGGATGGACAAATTTGCAATAGATGCCATGTGCAATTGAGAACATCAGTAATATAATCATATTTAAAACATTGATCAGAAGAAACAGTTTGTAAGATAATGGAAAAAAGTGTCAATGTTTAAAGTATTTGTACATGAGAAAATGTCCGATAGAGATGAAGGGAGCAGCAATGACAAATTAATTGAGGAGTTTAAATCAATCATTCAAATTTATTTATATATCACGGTATCACAACAAACAGTTGTCTTAGGGTGCTGCACAAAAGTCCAAGATCTTAAGAAAGACAAAATCCAATTTGTTCCACACCGAGCAAGCATGAGCAACAGCGGGGAGGAAAAACTCCCAGGTGAAAGAAACCTCCATCAGAACTGGGCTCAGTGTGGACAGCCTCTGCCAGGACCGGTTGGGGTGAGTAGAAAAAAACAAATAATATAGGGGAACAAAAGGAAATAAAGGGGGGGTTGGAGTCACAGTCTAAGGTCATGGGCTTGAATCCAGCCCGGGAATGTCCACGTGGACGTTCACATGGTCTTCCAATGGTGCGTTGGTCCCCCCCCGGGCACTCCTGCCTCCCTCATGGTCCAACATGCACAGTAGGTGGACCCATGGTGCCAAAGGTGAGAGGTCCTCAGGTGAGAGTGCTGGTTTCTGGTGCCTGATGGGTGATCCCCCAGCAGTGTAGGCCTATAGAAGCATAGCTATGGATGACTATTGCTCAGGGTTGAGCTTTATCAAAAAGGAAGGTTTTAAGTCTAGCCTTAAATGTAGAGACCGTCTCTGCCTCACTCACTGGAAGTAGGAGCTGGTTCCAAAGGAGAGGAGCTTGGTGACTAAAAGTTCTACCACCCATTCTACTCTTAGTAACTCTAGGCACTACAAGGAGTCCAGAGTTTAGGGGGCGAAGTGGTCTGTTGGGGCAGTAAGGGGTTACGAGCTCTTTAATGTAGGATGGGGCCTGATTGTTGAGGGCCTTATAAGTCATTAGGAGGATTTGAAATCTATCCTCTGTTGAACAGGGAGCCAGTGAAGGGAAGCTAAGACAGGAGTAATGTGATCCCGTCTTCTGGTTCCTGTCAGTACTCGTGCAGCAGCGTTCTGCACTGGCTAAAGGGTTCTTGAGGATCTGCTGGGACATCCTGATAATAGGGAGTTGCAGTAGTCTACCCTAGATGAAATAAAGGCACGAATCAGTTTTCAGAACCCTGTTTTGACAGGAAGTGTCTGATTCTCTTTATATTATGCAGATGAAAGAAAGCTATTCTGGAGGTTTGACTAATTTGTTGGTTAAATTACAGATCTTCATCAATGATAACTCCTAGGTTCTTCACAGTGGAGTTTGGAACCAGGCAGATGTCATCTAGGTTCACCGACTGGTTAGACAGAGTTTCTTTGAGATGCCTAAGACCCAGGATTATGACCTCAGTTTTGTTTGTGTTTGACAAAAATAAATTCTGGGTCATCCAGGCCTTGATCTCCTTGAGACAGTTTTGAAATCAAATTAAATGGTTCAGTTCGTCTGGCTTCATAGATGAATATAATTGGGTGTCATCTGCATAGCAGTGAAAAAGAATGTTATGTTTTCTAAAAATATTTCCTAATGGTAACATGTATAAATTAAACAGTATTGGATAGAGAACTGAACCTTGTGGGACTCCATGATTAACTTTAGTGTATGATGACTATTCATCATTAACACTAACAAAGTGGAATCTATTTGATAAATAAAAACTAAACCAGCTTAATGCTGTCCCTCCAATCCCAACCTCTTGCTCTAATCTTTGAAGGAGAATGTTATGGTCAATGGTGTAATGTCTGTAGCTATGTAACTAACAGGCATAAGACCATGCGTGAGTTCTCAGTGTTTGGTTTATTTCCGAACTTCTCTTCAGTACAACACGATGTCATTCCTCCTCATGTGTAACACTTCTTCTTCTTCTTGGCATAGAACAATGCCCTCGGTTTATGACCCTGACCTCTTCAGGTCACTACCTGTCATTACATCTCCCCCCTAAAGATGTTACCCTGATCATCTCACATGAACTGTTATTGTCTAGTAAACATTAAACACTTCTGTATGTTAACAATATTCCTCATTGAAACATAACTGTATATAACTGTCGGACCTTAATGGTGTCTAATGAAAATGACCATTATCTGTTAATACTGTTACAAAAAATAAACATTCACTCCGACTTGTTTTTTCTCTAAACTAGTGCATTTCCTGTTAATGTAAATCAGAAATAATGAAAGTGCATTTTCTGCAACCGAAAAACATTCATCAATCAAACATTTCCCCTCTTTTTTTTTTCAAAACTCCCTCCCCCAAAGGCCATACTGCAAAGTCTTGACCCTGAGTTTTCTCCAAGACAGCCCTGCAGTCCCTATTCACAAGTTCAGTTTGACTGGGGGCTTGCTCACTCTGCCAGAACGAGTGACGATCACAGTCCCTTGTGGTCCCGTGGGAGTGTATTGTGTTTGTGTCCCCGCACCCTGTGTGTCCCCACTATCAGTGTCAGTGACCTCTGGAGTCACCTGGTCAGAACTTTCTTTGACAGGCGTAGACTGCAGATGGCGCCTGTTCCTTCTGTAGCGCTCACCTTGTGCTGTCTCAACGACATAGGACCTTGGAGTGGAGCTAGAGCTATGAACAACAGCAGGCGTTGTCCACTGTTTCTGTCCATCCAGTTTCATTAGCGTGGAGTCCCCCGGACTCAGGGGTGGTAGAATTTTAACTCCATTTCTGCGATTGTAAAAATAGGCCTGCCTCTTCTTGGCTGCAGCGTCAGCCTGCCTGATCTCATCCTCATCGGGCCAGCTAGGTCTCAGATTGTCCTGCAAGATGGGCAAGGTGGTCCTAATTTTCCTGCCCATCAGCAGTTCCGCTGGGCTGACTCCTGTCGATGAGGTGGGTGTGGCTCTGTAAGTCATTAGGGCTAGGAGGGGGTCTTTCTGTCTCAATATGGATTTAGCTATCTGAACTGCCCTCTCTGCCTGCCCGTTACTCCGGGGGTAGTGAGGGCTGGATGTGACATGGACAAAATCATAATCCTCACTAAATTCCCTCATCTCTGCTGAAGCTAGCTGGGGCCCATTATCACTCACTATCACTTCGGGGATACCGAAACGTGCAAATGTGTCTTTCAGCTTAGCTACAACCTGGTGGGTTGTAGTTGTAGGCAGATTCAAAATTTCAAGATATCTGGAGTAATAATCTGACACTACTAAGTAGTTGTGCTTCTTATACTCACACAGATCTATAGCAGTTTTCTGCCATGGCCTGGATGGGAGCTCACTAGGCATTAATGGCTCCTTTGTCTGAGTGTTTTTATTCTCCCTACAGAATGTACACTGCTGTACTGTTCTAGTTATTTCATCAGGTATTCCAGGCCACCGTACTGATTGGTAAGCTCTTTCCCTGCACTTCACTAGGCCTTGGTGACCATCGTGAATTCTTTTTAGCATTTCCTCTCTCATTTCAGTGGGAATGACGATGCGTTGACCTCTAGTGACTAAACCTTCTACCTCTGATAGCTCTCCTCTCACTTTGTAGAAGTCTTTAACTGCCTCCGGCACCTTGTTTTCAAACTCAGGCCACCCACTCCTAATGAAACCTATGGCTGTCTGGAGCTGGCTATCATTTGCAGTGTTCCGTCTTAGCTCTACCATTCTGTGTGGTGTGGCTGGGACCTGGTCCATAACAGCCTCAATGTGTGCTGCTACATCTTCGTTACAAACCCCATCCCCCTGACACTGCTCTGGGCCCCTAGACAGTGCATCTGCTACTGCTAATGTCTTACCAGGTGCATGCTCTGCGGTGGCTTTGAAACGCATGAGTCTCATCAGCAGCCTCTGGCACCTGATTGGGACACAGTCCAGATCTTTGCTGTTCATGAGGGGTACCAGTGGTTTGTGATCAGTCACCAGTCTAAAACTGTCCAGTCCATACAGGTACTTGTCGAACCGTTCACAGGCCCACACGCTGGCAAGGCACTCCTTCTCAATCTGTGCGTACCGTTTCTCCGCATCGCTTAATCGTCTGGAGCAGTAGGCCACAGGTTTCCAGCTCTCCCCATGCTGCTGGAGTAGGACACCCCCCAGCCCATAGCTGCTGGCGTCTGCTGACACGAT